CCCTCTGTTGCATGAACGCCCACACCACAGACATGGAGCCAGGTCCCTGCCTGTTGCTGCTGTGCACTGTGTGAGAGCCTGGTGGACTTCTGCCTCAAGTTCCTTGAACTTCAGAAGATCCAGGCTGCAGGGCTTTAGCTGGCTCAGCAGTGCTAAGCTGCTCAATTAGGGAAAAAAAAAATAAAAAAATACCGGATTATTGTTGCTGAGCACACACAGAGAAGCAGCTTGAAAACTTAGGTTTTCAAGTGTTGTTGGACAAGGTGGATGCTGAGTAGGGGCTCTTGGGGTGGTAATTTGGCTGCTGAAAAATACTGAAAATAACTCAGATCTAGAATACAAGATCTGGCCCAGTAAAACAAGCCAGAGACAAGAAAGGAACACTTTTGCAGCCTTCTGTCCATAGAGATTTGAATCATCAAGCAGCTGCCTGCTCCAGGGACTCACCAGTCTGAACAGAAGCTCCTAGCATAGCACCAGACAATGCAGTGGAAGCATTGTCCACTGTTTAGTACTACACCTGATTTTGGACACCAGTTTAGTTTCTGGCTGGAGGTGAAGTGCCTGTTGTGGTGTTTGCAGTTGGTTGTTTCTTTCCTAATCTGCCTTCTAGAGAGCAACTTAGTACTAAAAGAATCCATCCTTACTGTTTGTGAGGGCTTGATTTTTCAAGTTGGCTGTAAGCTATACTCTGGAATCTGCCACTCAAGGGACAGTTGAAAGCTCTGGTGCTGAGTGCACTTGCATAAGGGCAAGTTCTGTTGCCAGACTCCTGTTTCTTTCCTCTTCATGCAGCTCTGATCAGAGCTAGGCTAAGACTCTGGGCTGTATTTTTAAACTAATCAATGCTTTCTAATGGTAACAAATGAAAAGTTTCATTAGTACTAAACAAGTGAGGTTCTGAAGTTTGGTGTTCTTTCATGTTAATGATTTTAGTAGACCAAATAATCTGAGGTCATAAGCCTTCCCTACATTTAATTCCAGCTACAGTGGTAGGGTAGTACTATCAAAAAAGGTAGATTTTCCTATTCTGGAAAAAAAAAACAACCCAAAACAACACACACAAAACAAACAACAAAAACCAGAAGTGCTTCTGGCAGCATTGTCCCTCATTCACTGAACCAGCACAACCTCGTGGTACAGAATTAGTGTGTAATTACTAGATTCTTTTTGGTGTGGAATGGTGGTGGGAGGGTGGAAAGGTAAACATGGCCTCAACTACCATGCCTACCTAGAGCCTAGGTCTTCAGTAGGATGTCTCATTCTAGGCATGAAGTGTACTGAAACTCAGCCATGTGTGTCTGCTGTACCATGAACAGACACAACAGGAGTCTACTCTGGTAGGTTAGACAACAAGAGAAAGTGTTTCCCCCTTAATTATGGTGAGATGAAACATGTTCTTTTCTGTACCTATCAAAGGCAGAAGCTGTACATTAATTTGGCTTGGGCTGCTTAATTTCAGCACCAGTAAGGCTGCAAGGACAGTAGTGCTTTGACTTCATGTATGTATCTATGCTTCAAAGTGCAAGCTTTGAATTGCCATTAAAAAGATAAGCAGGAGGAAGGGGGGGTTATAAGATTTAACCAACCCTACTTGACTCTGGTAGAGCTAGCTCTTAGGCCCATACAGAGCAGGGACTACAGGGCTAGCTCCAGGCAACAGTACTTGGTTTGTGTCTGCTGAAGTGAACTTTCCTGACTGGAGTGCTTGGTTGGGGAATGAGAACTGCACCAGCTTGGAAAGGTCACCTGTAGTGTTACCAATACAGCCAGGGAAACCACAATACAAAAATCACTCAGATCCACCTCCTTCAGTTAAATAACATTATCACTTTTTTTTTTCCTACTTAGAGCTGACCCTCTGTTGGTCTCTTAGGTAGGCTGACTAGCTTCCTCCTAGCTAGAGGTCTATGGTTATGCTGTAGAAGTGGGGGAGCTATAGTTAGCTTCCAGTGGAAGCTGCTTTTGATCTCCCTGCAGCATCTGCAGGGGAGGGAAGGAACACTATTGATTTGGACAGAACAAGCTGCAGAGGATGCATCGTACTCCTGTATCTTTAGGGGGTCTCTTCCCCCTTTTTAACTTGCATTATGAGCTTTTATTCAAGTGTAAAGCTGAAACCCACTCAGACCAAAATAATGCCACTTGATTTGTTAAAGTAGCAAAGACCAATGGGACTGACTGAAGCATGCATGTTAGGGGATATCTTCTACTAGGCTTCTGCTGGTTGTGAACAGATAGTGACTGATTTGCAGGGATTTTGGATTCTGTTCTCAAGGGGCCTGCACAGGGGAAGAGACCCTGACTGGTCCTCAAGTCACCCATTAGCCAAGGAACTGGTCATATTGTTCCTTTTAATATGCAAGTGCAGCCCTCTTGGGGAAAGCTGTCTAAAGCTTCTTGTGCCATTTGGTTAATAAAAGTGTTTCCACCTTTAAAAGAAAGTTCTCTCCAGCTTCATTGTTCTATATTCAGTTGAAGTGAAGGGGTATGTCCATCTTCCCTCTGCTAATGGGACACTGCTGTAAGACCATGCCCCCAGGTTGCACTTTAATAAATGGTACAGTTTTCAAAAACAGTGTAGACTGCTTCTGTGCTTTCTTTTCTCTCCTTGTTCTAGTGCAAGCACTGAAAGAAAGTGTTTACTTACGCAGGATTTGCTTATGTAAAGCTAGGACCAGGACATCTGTATTACTGCCAGCTGCATCACAAGCAGTAGTGAATTAGAGAAGTGCCACAAGTACTTGCACAAAAAAACAGCAACATAAAAAAAAACCCAAGCAGGTAGAACTTTTAGAACTTCACATTCTTAAGAGCTGTATTGCCATGAGAACTGAGTTTTATTTAAGTTAAAAAACCCCCCCACAAAATATATACATCATTTCAAAACTTCTGAGGCAGCTGGATCACAGGTGAAGCATTTGCCACATTCTCTGTGATTACAAACATGTATCAAACAACCTGAGTTCAAGTTTGTTGAACCTGAGATGACTACAATACGCTTACATGAGATGTCAGATATTCTTCCTGATCCAAGGCTGATAACCTTCTCTTCATAGCAAGATATTCTAAAACTAAACACATTTCCTCAAGTATATCCAGGTTGTGTTCCCTGAAAGAACCTGTCCTGTACCTATTCCTTCCTTTTCTTTACAAGTTCTCATTCAGTTTTATTTTTCAAGCAAGCAGTATCTCACAATTGATACTGAAGCATCTTTACTTCAGCCTGTCCTGGCCAAACACACCTAACCCTCCTTTAGAGTAGTTTCCTGCCAGCTTCCCTCTAACGACAGACTTGATTATTTTTATTTTTTTTTACCCTTCCCCCCCAGTGATCTGTGTTGATCAACCACCCATTCTACAGCCTGAAGCTGTCCTCGGAACAATTAACACTCAGCATGGCTCAGGTGCAGCACCAGGAGCAGGGCTGGGAAGAGAATAACTAAAGCTAAATGCTAGTACTGATTAGAAAATAAAATACTGAGAGGGCAGGCTCTGTGCTCACAGCATTTCCTCTGGTCTTCACAAAGGCTGCTATTGCTAAGGTAAGAAAAAACACTATTGTAAAATAAGATGGGGCAAGCACTACTCCTTACAGGTACTGTAAGCCAACATGCAGCTCACACTACTATCATATTGCTGTGCTAGTCTACAAAAGCCTATCTATGAAGCTCTACCCTCCCTTTCACAGCTGAAACTCAGAAGTTAAGAACAGAAAATATTTGTCTACATCAATAACAGTAATAACAGTCTTCAGGAATCCACATTCTCCACACAGAGAGAGCTGGAGAGTTTACTCACGCAGCTAGAGGGAGAGAAAACAGAACCAACATTAACAGCAGTAGGGCCGAGCCCTGTGCCTTCCAAGCCACCCTCTGGAGGAGGCTGGCAGCTCCCCGGGAAGGTGAGCAGCAGCCTCCTCTGCACCACCCAGTGCCATGAACCATGCTGCAACTCTGCCACTTGCTGTGCTGCTCGTCTGCCATCACCCCTCGGCCCCCCCTTCTGCACTAGGGCCAGGGACACAGCTGGCACGAGCAGTCCCAGGGGAAGCACATGAGACAGCTCCCCTGGAGGTGGTGGACGACCATCAGGCCAGCAGCCCCTTGCCTGTCCCCCTGCACCGTGCTATCCAGCTTTGTGGCTGGATAGAAAAAGGCATCATGAGAGAAGGAAGGCATCATGAACACTAGCCTCTTACCCCAGTGACTGGTTTCTGTAGTAACTCTGCACCCTTGAGCTAAGCTGAGTGAAGGGGAGGGCAGCACTGACACTGGGGGAGCTCTCTGTGCCCAGCACAGAGCTATTTGACAGCACTCACCATTCTGACAATGTAGTTGTGGAGCTGGCTCATGTAGTTCACAGTAGTGCTGAAGACATGCTGTAGAAGGGAAGGCATTGTATTTGCAATTTTTTTAGTCAAGACCATTACTATCACCAACATGGCCTTCTCCTGTTCCATGTCTGTGGGGATGGCTCGTACAAGCTCTTCCACTACCTGTGACATGCGCCGAACTATTTCCTGTATGGAAAGAAGGGAGGGACTTCAGTGCAAAAGCAGTGGGAGAAAGGGGTCTCAGCACAGCCTGCCAGCACTCTGCTGGTAACTCATGTGCTTGATCCAACATCTCACAAGATCCTGCTCCTTTTCCTCCCAAACACAGTAGCGTCCTGTTACACACCCTAGATGACAGTAAAAAGTACTATCTTAGAGCTCAGCTGCTCACCCAAGACAAAAAAGAAAGGGAGAAAACACACATAGTACTAGAAAACTTGGATAGCACCTCATACACTTAGGGTGGAACAGCCCCTTTTCTCTCCCCTGTTTGCACCCAGACTGCAAAGTCCTAAAATGGCACAGGAATCCTGGGGCTCCCATGAGAGGGCAATCCACCTTAAATGCAGTAAAGATCAGAGATAAAAAATTTAGGTGGGGACTGGGAAGAAGACAGAGGGAGTTTCACAGAAAAGCCTTCACACAGGCAGAAGCTAGAGAAAGTGTTCAGTAACAAGCACAAGTCAAGTATCTGGCACTAACACTGCTCAAGTTTCATACACGTGGAGAGCAGCAGACATAAGGGACTCAGCACCAAAGTTCAAACATCTTAAAGACAAATACTAAGCCTTAACCAGACAGTTGATTTTCAAAGATAGACCATTGGGCCAAGAAAATGAGGACAAAAGACCTTTGGAAGTCAGCCTTCTCCCCAACTACCTCACTTTCACCATCCACAGAAAGGAGATGAACCCAAGGAACCTGATTTGCAGGGCAAGAGCTGCCATGGAATACAGCATCACCTCTAACAAATCTTCAAAGGTAAGTGTTTGGGCTGAATTTTAAGATGGCAATAATTAAATCAGTAAACCAGCAAAGGCACAGAAGTTGCGAGTTTGCTGCTTCAAAGTCACAATAGGAAGGAAACTACTAGTCATGTTGCTTTTTACTCACCTCTCTAGACAGGTTCTCATTCAGAAAATGCTGCACTAGATCATCTACTCCTCTTGCTTCGATTTCTCTTTCAAATTGGTCTCCAATCTGAGCAAGCTGAGCAGCAATCATCCTGATCACTTCTTCATTTACCTCAGGGTCAAACACTGTCAATACATACAGTGGGGTTTAGTTCACAGGCTGCAGTCAGACTAGGTTCAATGCAAGTAAGCTAACCCATTGCATTTTGTCCATCTCCATTAACCACCTCCTTGCCATTCCACCTCCAATCATAGTGCATTCATGACAGCTATAAACATCACAGCTTCCTTGCCTGCACTCAACTTATTTACCAGAGACAGAGACTACATTAACTGTAGTTCAGGTTAAATACAGCCTCACACTGTCCAAAAAGAGGGGAGGTCAAAGCATCTCCAGCCAAAATTTGTACAGGACAGCTAGAGCCAACAGCCTGCCTAGAGAGGGGAAGTGAGAGTGTACACATTTTTTTCAAGTGACTACTGTTAAGACCTGTCTCTTAAACACCATCTAAAATACATCACCTTAGGAAATCATAGAATGGTTTGGGCTGGGAGGGACCTTTAAAGGTCAGCTAGTCCAGCCTCTTTGCATTGTGCAGGGAAACCTTCAACTAAATCATGTTGCTCAGAGTCCCATCCAACCTGACCTTGAATGTTCCAGGGATGGGGCACCTATCACCTCTGTGGGCAACCTATTCCAGTGTTTCACCACCCTCATAGTAAAAAAAAATAAAATTAAAATTAAAAAAAAAAAATTCTTAGATCGATACCCTTGTCACTTAGCAATCATTATCCCTTGACCCCTACCTCCTTTTGGCACCATAACTAGAGTTGTTCTTAAACCTTAGTCCAGTGCTCCCTGAGGAGCAGTGCAAGGCCTAACTTAACTGCTTAATATCATACTCCTTGGGGACAATTATCATTAGTAACCAGCTTTGTGGCCCTTGTCTGATGTGCTGCAGACAAAACCCCAGGGTGACAGATGCCCTAAAAATCCATAGAGAGATGAAGTGCTAAGCACTAGCTGTCTTATCCCAAGTGTTAAAATCCCAACCAACACCACCACCATACTGTAAAATTTCTCAATGGAGAGAAAAAAAAAAGTACCCCTGAAACGGACTAGCAGCAAAGATGGGAAAAGGGGAAAGAAAACTACCACTTTCAAAGAGGCATGTAGGAAGGAGAAAAGAGCACTTGCCTAGCCCACCATTCTGCATGTGGCCACTCCGATTGCCATCAGTCTGAAGTTCTGCCTCATCATCATCGCAGAGGCCGCCTTGCAAATAGACAGTCTTCAGGCTTTGCAGGGACTGCAGTTGCTCTCTGAACTTACAGTCAGAGGATACCTCCAGGAAGGCATACAGCAGTGCATGCTCCATCTGGACAGATCCATTGACCTTAAGCAAAAGAAAAATCACTGTTAAGCCCACGCCCAGGAAAAGTCCTACTCAGGAGGTCTATGCATACTGTTTTCCAAGATTTTTCTTTCCTCCTTTGGGCATCCTTAAGTATACCTTTGCTGAAGTCTTGTGGACTCCCTGACTGACTGTTGGATGTGTACCCACACAGAGCCACCTGACGGGGAACTACAGATAGCTCTGTTCTTACAAATCAGTGGTAGAAGTGTCAGCTCACCTTCTCTGGCACATTTCCAGCTGTGGCAATGACAAAAACCCTGATCAGGACTGCTGTTGAGAAGCAGGTGTGTACTTAGCACAAATCACCCACTTACACCTATTAAAACATTTGTGTTTGGAAGGTTTTTACCCCTGTATTTGGGGACTGGGCATTCTACTTTCTGTTCATAATGAAGTCAGCAGCTCCATGTTGAAATGTAATCAGAGCATAGCAGTAACAAGGTGGGGAACAGAGATAACAGATAACATAAGGCAAAAAAACCCTAAGGTTCATATTTTTTTTTTCTTCTCTTCAAAGGGATCTAGACTAGCTTCACAGAGAACCTGTTCAGCTCCCTGTAGACAGCCAAGCAGTTGCTCACAAGACTAGTGATGTGAGATGGCAGATCATTGGTGTCTGGTATCATCTAGACCAGCACATTCACCCCCAGTAAACAGGCACAGGCTGCCTCCATGGCCATGTACCTTGCCACCTTCAAGCAAGGTAGCACAGAGTGCCCAAATTACACTGAGGAGGTCCATGAGGCACTCAGACTAATGTGAGCAAGAGGTCTCAATAGAACATGGGGCCTCATAACCAATTCTAGAAAACCTCTGCAGAAAACCAGGAAAATGTTCAATAATTTTAGTTGAGCAGCTAAGACAGCAAAATGCTGTGCAAACACAAAAATAAAGTGAAAGAAAATCCTTACTTGGGTATGTAGACTGTGTGTCTGTAAGATAAGAAAATATTTAGGCTTAATAGTAACCAAGGAGAAGAATAGTTTATATTGCCAACTGCAGAGATTCATCCTATTTGCATATTGCTTACCCTGATAATTGGAATGAAGTTTCAGGTACATTTTGGTGAGTGGAACCTTGCAAGGCCACTTGTATCTACATAACTGTATCAGTAGTATCATATAGGACCCATATTGTCTAGGCAACAGTAGCAAAATTGGAACAAATGCATAAAAATAAATTAGAGACAGGTTGTTTACTTGAGTTGAGACTGGGCAGAGAAAGGGCAAAACAAAGGCTACAAAAAGACTCCAGAAATGGATGGAAAAGAAGGTATATGATTGAAGATCAACTCAAGACAAATCTTCCAGGGTCTGAGTGTGGGTGTTTACAGACAGTAATGAAACTGACCTGGTGACCCAAGCTCACAAGGACACCAGCAGCAATACCCTTGAACAACCCACTGGACTAGGCATCGCATTTGTGTTAAAAAGACTTGTGGGATGACAAAGAAAACAGGCTTAGGAACTGTATCCTAAGACTAGATGGGGCAAGGAGGATGACAAATTTCAATAGCAGTTCAATGTAGTTAATAAGATGAAAGTATGACAAATAATAGCTTCTTAATTGTTTAATATTGCACAAAATAATGCATAGTTGATCACAGTGGTTTGTCTATTAATTTGATGTATTACTTTGTTCTTAGCTAATAAACACTGTAGCCCCCTAAATGGCTGTATCTCTAGCCTGTGTTTTAAAGGAAGAGGGTCACACTGTAAGGTAACAAGGAAGCAAATTGCAAGCTAAGGGGTTCCATCCACTTGTCTGTATTCAGAGGATTGTTAGGGTCTCTGCAGGAATTCTGGGGAAGATGAGGACAGAAGTCTATCCCTTTCCAGTCACTCCAGTCTTCAAAAAGGGCAAGAATGACCCAGTAAACTATAGGCTGGTACCTGGAAAGGTAGTAAAACAAGTAATTCTGGATGTCATCTCTAAACATGTGGAAAATAAAGTTATTGGGAGTGGTCAACATGGGTTCACCAAGGGCAACTCATGCTTGACCAATCCAATTGCCTTCTATGACATTTTAACTGGATGGCTAGGAGAGGGGAGAGCAGTGGATGATCTTTACCTAGACTTCAGCAAGGCTTTTGACACTGCCTTCTACAACATCGTCATTAAGAAACTCAAAGTGTGGGTTAGATGAGTGGACAGTGAGGTGGTTGAGTGACAGAGCTCAAGGGGTTATGATCAATGGTGCAGGGCTGAGATGGAGGCCATTTCCCCAGAAGTCAATACTTGGTCTGGTCTTGTTCAACATATTCATCAGTGACCTGGATGAGGAGACAGAGTGTATCCTCAGCAAGTCCACTGATGATACTGAACTGGGAGGGGTAGCTGACACTCCAGAGGGCTGTGCTGCCATCCAGCATGGCCTGGACAGGCTGGAGAGCTGGGAAAAGAGGAACCTAATGAGGTTCAACAAGGACAAGTGTAGGGTCCTACACCTGGGGAGGAAGAACTCCATGCATCAGTATACATTAGTGGTGAACCTGATGGAAAGCAGGTGTTTTTAACACCTCCAAGGATGGTGAGTCAACCATAGCCCTGGGCAACCTGTTCCAGTGCCTGACCACTCTTTCAGTAAAGAAATTGTTCCTATAATCCAATCTGAATCTCCCCTGCTGCAACTTAAGGCTATTTCCTCTCATCCTATCACTAGTTATGTGGGAGAAAAGGCTGACCTTCACCTCACTACAACCACCTTTCAGGTAGCTGTAGAAAGTGATAACATCACCCTTCGGTCTCCTTTTCTCCCAGCTAAACACCTCCAGTTCTGTCAGCAGCTCCTTACAAGACTTGTGCTCTAGACCCTTCCCCAGTCCCATTGCTCTTCTCTGGACACACTCCAGCCCTTCAATCTCCTTCTTGTAGTGAGGGGCTCAAAACTGAACCCAGGATTTGAAGCACAGCCTCACTAGTGCCAAGCACATATCAACGTCTATAAATATTTAAAAGGTGGGTATATGGAGAATGGAGTTAGACTTTTTTCAGTAGTTGTCAGTGACAGGACAAGGGGCAATGAGCACTAGCTGAAACACAAGGTTCCATCTGAACGTGAGGAAAAACTTCATTACTGCGACGGTGACAAAGCACAGGAACAGGCTGCCTAAACAGGTTGAGGAATCCCCTTATCTGGAGATATTCAAAACCCACCTGGATGCAGGCCTGTGTAATGTGATCTAGAAAATCCTATGTTAGCAGGGGTGTTGGACTAGACGATCTCCAGACTCCAATCAGTATTTTTTGAGACTCTGTTCTTTTGAGCTATTTCAGAACAAGTGCACAAAGAGAACCACTAGTCACTGTGAACCACTGACTTCAGTCACCTTGAAGCTAACCTGTTCCATGACAGATTCAGAGACAGATCAGCTCTCGTCACTCTGCTTCAGACCAGAAGACCTTGTCTTGTCCTGCAAGAAAGTAAGAAAGAAAAGGATGAAAGGAAGAAACTTCCATAAACACACATCTTGCAGCTGTGCTCATGTGCTCCACATCTTGTGGAAAATGACCCTTTTATGATGCATATGCATATATCTGGAGAAAGCTACCTGTCACACACTAGCAGTCATAATAAAAGGCTGGAAAAACCACAACTGCCCCAGCAAAACGGGCATGAAACCCTGCCAGCCATGTGGAAGACAGTGGAGGGACATGACCTACAAATGGAGCTTTAAAGCTGAGAGGCAGTGCTGGGGAAGGAATGAACAACCCTTTAAAGTGCCAAAGTGTGGAATGGAAAGCAGTATTATCCCAGAGGAGTTCCTGAGTACCTAATGAGAGCAGGTAAGCTGCTCAGGTCTACACGCACAGCATACTCTCAAGTCAATCACTCAGCTGACATTGCAACACATCTACAGGACTTCAAGTGCACCTCCCTCCCTGTCCCCCCATGCGGATCCACATGTTTACTCAGGCTTATTTCAATACTTTCTCAACAAATATCTAGAGACAGGAAAGCTGGACTAAGGGCCAACAGGTTCTAGTAACATGAGCACAACTCTGCTAAGCCTCCTGAGAGGCTACTAGGAAGAAGGGAGTAAACAGGACGCTCACCACAAGTTCCTATGCTCCCACAGTGCATGCTCAGGGTTGACAATCCTTGACCTGTCTTGTGGCTGGGCAGTGCCAAGGGAAAGTCGTGCAGGAAGGACAGACAGCATGGTGCAGAGGGTGGCCTCCCTCACCCACTTAGAAAGGGGTGCTCCTTCCTCATCCAGACATCTGTAGCTGATGGGTGGGTGAGACCAGTAGCCCCAGCACTTATATCTGGTACAGGAAGTCCCAAAGCAAGGTGCAGAAGCAGCACAGCAAATGCCAATAACACTAGCCTAACATACCAAATGAGAAGGCAGGGAGGATAGGAATACTGTTTGTGAACCTTGCATTTGCTGCCTTAAATGCAACAATGCCACAGTTGCACACAGAAGTCTCTGATGCAAGCTGGCTTCAACTTTTGATGAGTAGGACCTAGCTGAAAGTAGACATTACCTTCCCACCAAGTCTTCTTCACGCAGGGCAATAACCTGGGTGCTGGCACAGACTACATTCTGACTAAAACCAGGGTTCAAGCACCAAGGAGCCCAAACAGATGGCCAACTAACCATCAAAGATCTGGGCTAGTGATCAATGATCCTATTTCATAGTAAAAACCCCTCACAGCTATATTTTAAATAACCAAGCATGCCAATGGGCAAGAGGCAGGAAATGAAAGCAGAAATTAATTCAAACTCTGAAGGAAACTGCAGCAGTCATTTCAAAAGACCATGAATTTCCCAACTTTCCAAAGACTCTTAGAAGTCCCCAAGATAAAAACCAATCTCAAATATGTCCAAGATGCACAACAACCCACAGGCAGCCTCTTAGCTCTTTTTCCTTCAGTTGTTACGTGTAGACTAATTAGCTTCCTAAAACAAAAGTTTAGCCTTGGCTGCTCTGCCTTTTTCTCTGTTCCATTCAGATCACTATTGCTGCTACTCACCTTGACCCCAAGGAGTGTGGTGGCTAGGGAGAGTGCAGTCCTCTGTCCTCTTCTCTGGGACCTAACAGGGCTCTGAAACCAGTCAGAACGATCCTTCTCCTAGGCTTAACTTTGCTGGAGGAGAGACAGATGTTAATTCAAGTTGGAGAACTTGAAACCAAATTTCAGAAATTAAGTGAAAAGTGAGGATTTTGCATTAAGTCTGTGGTAGTACTTTAGCTTTGTGCAAAGTCCTCAGGAGTTGTCCTTATCAGCAACATTTTCACATGCTAGGCAAAGCCTCAACTTGCACAGATGTTGTTTTATAGATAACATTTCTTTTGAATTCAAAGTCATTCAGCCCAAAACCAAGGTGTTCATGTTACATTTCAAAACCAGTGGAAATCCTCTGATCCTAAATCCTGCTGAGTTAAACACCACTTCCTGAACCATCATGGCTTAGACCACAGGAAGCCTGAAGTAGTATTGAGCCTCTGCTGCCCACATCCTATTTGCCTTGAAACTCACATTCATCACAGTGACCTTCTTGGGTTCTGCCAGGATTGCCATCCTCACCCAGTTCTAGCCTATGCCAAAAGCTTCAGACAGACCACAGCAGTCCTCTGGTCAGATTAGCCTATGCTGGCTAATTCAGGCTGGGAATAGCCAGCTGACTTCATAATGTTAATACAGGCTGAACAGATTTCCCCATCTTTCAAGATGCAAGAAGTTGTACCAACCTCTGTTAACACCTCACTACGTACATGGAGAGACAGATGTTATCCTGCAGTTCTAGCTGAAGTCTGACGCAACATGAGCCACTACAGCTGTAAGTTGCACACAGGTAGCCAGATGTGCTGGTGAAACTAGCTGACTAGCACTCAAGAGACTTCTCACTCACAAAAACTTTACACCAAAACCTCTTCCACCCAAACCTAGCCAAACTGCTTGGATGACCTGCTTTTTCTCATTGATGAGAATTCTAGTCAATTACTGGAGGGCAAGGTCAGCACAGTCAGACAGCATAAACAGACTAAATAAAATATCAGCTTGCAGAGAAAAATCTTTCTTCCAGCAAGTGAATGGAAGAGAAATAGAAGA